AAAGTAGCTTTTATATCTTCAAATGATTATAAGAGGATATACAAATTCATTTGGAGTGTTCATGTTAGTTTTCTTCTGCTTTTTAATTAGGTTTTTGTTTTTCTGAGTCAGAGTCTCACTCTGTTGCCCAGGCTGGAGTGCAGTGGCATGCTCACAGCCACCACAGCCTCAACCTGCTGGGCTCAGACAATCCTTCCACCTCAGCCTTCCAGGTAGCTCAAGCCACAGGCACGTTCCACACACCTGGCTAATTTTTTGATTTATTGTAGAGATGAAGTCTCACCAAGTTGCTGAGGCTGGACTCAAACCCCTGGGCTCAGGCAATCCTCTTGCCTTGGCCTCCCAAAGGGCTGGGATTACAGGCTTGAGCCACTGCGCCCAACCTAGTAGTCTTACAATTGTGGTGTATTTTCTCTCATTGGCAGAGTGAGTTTTTTAAAAGTTTATTTTAATCCTTCTTTTCTTCTTCTCTTTTTCTTACAGTTTTTCTAGATCTCACCCCCACTCCAAGCTTTGCTTTCTGCCAAGGCTTATAGTGATTGTCCAAGAAATATCGCTTCCAGAATTTGGGCTTTACTTTTTTTCTTTTTCTGTTTCTTTTTTTTTTTTTTTTTTTTTTTTTTTTTCTTTTCTTTTTTTTGAGTTGGAGTCTCACTCCATTGCCCAGGTTGGAATGCAGTGGCATGCTCACGGTCACCCCAGAGTCAACCTACTGGGCTCTGACGATCCTTCCACCTCAGCCTTCCAAGTAGCCAGGACTACCGATGTACACTACTGTGCCCAGCTAATTTGTTTTGATTTTTTTATTGTAGAGACGAGGTCTTGCCAAGTTGCCAGACTGGTCTCGAACCAGCGGGCTCAGGCAATCCACTTGCCTTGGCCTCGCAAAGTGCTGGGATTACAAGCTGAGCCACTGAGCCTGGCCAGGGCTTGGCTTTTCTACTTGAGTTTGTAGATTCCTATCATCTTGTTATGTTGAAGGCATTGGACGCATGTGGCTTATTGTTCTAGTTGATTTGTATCGCTTTATAGAAAGAGGTATGAAGAGATGAGATTTAGGCAGCAGTCATTATCCTGGGCCACCTCTAAGTTCCCTACCACATGTACCTTAGCAAGCCACGTAGGTGCAATGTGTGGTGTGTTTGTGAACTTTGGGTAGGGATAAAGGACAAGAAAAAGACGTTTGGTTTAGAATATACCCATTTTGAGATGATTCCATCCATTTACATAGAGATGCCCATCAAGCAGTTAAATCATGGGTCTGAATCTCAGGTAAAGGATTAGGAATTACTGCTTCTAAAAACTCTGGTAGAGTTCTAGTAAGCTGGAATTCGAACTATAAATTTTTATAGCATTTCTTTCTTGGTCTAGTTCCTGCTTGCATACTCAAGTTCATCTTCCATGAGCATATAAGGCCTCTAGAAAATAAATATTATTGAGTGGTTACCAGGTAAAGTACTATTTTTGGAGGTTTATTTTATTTTATTCCACAGTTTGGTTGATATGGCTGAGAGACAGAAATATTCTGAGGAACCAGTCATTATTGAATCTCTTGAGGGGAAAGGAAAAGCACAGATCAATAGGTCAAATCAACTACCTAGAAAAACATAAGAAAATAATGCATACATTACAATGTCATCATTAAGCTTTTTGTCATATTATTAGTTTCCCCCAGTAGCTGTTGTACTTACCAAGTAGGTTAAATGCATAAATCTATAAAGTTTTATACTAATAGCTTTCTTTTAAAAATTGTTTTAAATTTTATTTTAAAGATGTGGCATACAATTCAGGATTGGGTATACAAGCAGACATCATACAGGTAAACTTTGGACCTCCCTTTGGTCCCCACTTTGCCTGGTTTGAGATCAGGTACCCTGATTGATGTGTCCCCACCCCCACCTGGGCAGTATCCCGCTACTGCCAATCCCTTTCTTATAGTATTATGGTAAATGTTCAGGGTTCGCTTATGAGTGAGAACATGTGGTACTCTGTTCTTTGTTTCTGTGATAGATCACTGAGTATTATACTAATAACTTTCTAAAGCAAATTCCTAGTTTCTCCTACTCTCTTTCCAGCTGCCCATTACTATGCTAAAGAAGGGCAAATGTGTGCATATTAATATCTAAGTCCTTTATGATGATAATACCTAGGTCAAAATACTGTGCAATTCATAGGGTTTTCAGAACATTATCTGTGATGGATTTTCCATATGCTACTACTTGAGTGTGTATGCTTGAATTGTCTGTCTTTATTAAGAGAGGAAATAGAGTCCACTAAAAAAAAAAAAAAAAGAATCACTGTGAAAGAATATGTTTGCTAGTCATTTACCCAGGTAAGCAAGCATTTTTCCCCATTGTATATTTGGTTTTTGTTTGTTTGTTTGTTTGTTTTAAATTAAATAATGGAGGTCATTTCCCAATATACAGAACAGTTAAGCTGTAAACAGAATTTCCTTAGTTTTTTGTTTGTTTGTTTGTTTGTTTTGAGTTGGAGTCTCACTCTGTTGCCCAGACTGGAGTGCAGTGGCCTCTCCCAGCCACCGCAGCCTCGACCTGCTGGGCTCCGGCAATCCTTCCGCCTCGGCCTTCCAAGTAGCCGGAATTACAGGCATGTGCTACCATACCCGGCTGATTTTTTGATTTATTGTAGAGATGAGGTCTTGCTGCCCAGGCGGGTCTCAAACCCGCGGGCTCAGGCAATCCACTCACCTCAGCCTCCCAAAGGCACGGGATTACAGGCTGAGCCACCGAGCCCGGCTCCATTGTATATTTGTATTGTGGCAACTGGGAGTAGATGAGTGTTCTCACCATTGAGATCATCTGTAGGATTAGAGAAATCCTATAAGTCAGCTCCTTCACTTGTTTTTTTTTTTTTTTGAATCAGAGTCTCATTCTGTCACCCAGGCTGGAGTGCAGTGGCACACTCATGGCCACCACCGCCTCAACTTGCTGGACTCAGGCAATCCTTCCACCCCAGCCTTCCAAGTAGCTGGGGCTACAGGCGTGTGCCACCATGCATGGCTAATTTTTTGATTTATTGTAGAGATAAGGCCTCGCCAAGTTACCCAGGCTAGTCTCGAACTCCTGGGTTTAGGCAATCCTCTCACCTCGGTCTCCCAAAGTGCTGGGATTACAGGCTTGAGCCACCATGCCAGCCAGTTGACATTTTGTTAATACCAAGAGCTAAATGAGGTGGTTCTTCAAATCGTGCATTGTTTTAAATTAACGGAGAGGCACTGTAATGCAGTGTTTAAAATTGTGTCCTTTGGACCCTGGCTGCCTGGGTTTGAATTCCACACTGGCTTCACTGTGCCTCAGTTATCTCATCTGTACAATGGGATAGAAACAGCACCTACTTCGTAGAATGTGTATGCAGATTTTATGTAATTTTCATAAAACAATACTGTCCTATTATTGTTATTCTTATTAGATCATGGTTTTTTTAATTCATTTTCTTTTTTTTTTTTTTAAGTCAGAGTCTTACTCTGTTGCCCAGGCTGGAATGCAGTGGCATGCTCATGGCCATCACAGCCTCGACCTGCTAGGCTCAGGTGACCCTTCCGCCTTAGCCTTCCAAGTAGCTGGAACCACAATCATACACCGCCATATCCGGCTACCTTTTCATGATTTATTATAGAGACGAGGTCTCAGTCAAGTTGTCCAGGCTGGTCTCGAACTCCTGAACTCAGGCAATTCTCTTGCCTCGGCCTTCCAAAGTGCTGGGATTACAGGCTTGGGCCATGGCACCCAGCCCTCTTATTAGATCATGTTAACAAGATTCTGCTGGATACAGTGGGGTGAGATTTTTGAGACTAATTAAAGTTTTTATGTTTTTAATTCTTAGACTGTTATGTGTTTATTTATTTATTGAATTGGTGGGGGGAATCTCACTCTGTCACCCAGACTGGAGTGGGGTGACACAATCATGCCTCACTGCTGCCTCCACCTCCTGGGCTCAAGCAGTCCTTCCACCTCAGCCCTCCTGAGTAGCTGGGACCATAGGCGCAGTACATGCCCAGTGTACTTTTTTAAAAAACTGTTTAAGGAGCCAAGATCTCACTATATTGCCTAGGCTGGTCTCAAACTCCTGAGCTCAAGCAATCCTCCTGCCTCAGCCTCCCAAAAGCTACGGGATTACAGGCATAAGCCACCACGCCTGGCATGTTTCATTTAAAGACACTGGCCGAACTCATCATTTAGCATGCAATCTAGTCACCCACAAATTGAAAAATGGGTGACGGAAAACAGAAAAATTAAACCCAGCATTTCCATAGAAGTCACTATGGATATGAAAGCATTCATGAAGAGTTCAAGAAATCTGCCTCCTTTTTTGTGCACTGATATTATTTTCTTTGGGGGCTAAAAAACGTAAGGATCTCTTTCTGGATGCAGGTAAAAGCCAAGAGCTGTGAATGATGCCCTGAAAGGATTTTGTGATTGTCTTTGAAGGCTTTGTTCAACAGCCCGCATTTCGTCTCTCCTCTCCCCACCAGGTGGAAGCATAGAGCGCTTTGGGCCTTGTCTTGCTACACACACCTCTTCCTAGGCATTGTGGCAGTCACTTGGCTGAGAAGGAAAAAGGTAACACCACATCCAGGAGCCCGAAATGTTCCTCCAGCTGAATTGTAGAGTGCCATATTTCAATGATTTAACGTGGGAATAATAAAGACAACAGATTGGGTGAATTTCCTTTCCACCAATTCTTTTAATTCAACTGAGATCAACACATCAGTTGACCATTGTCAGAAATCATAACACGAAGTCTCTGTGACAGCTAGAAGAGCTGCTGGGGACTAAATTAACCTTACAAAATGACACCCAAATATGTTTAATTGGATTTCAAATGAATTGATGGAAAGGAGCCTCTGGCATTCTGGGCACATTGCTTCCGTAAGAACTGTGAGAACAGTGCCCTTTATTGCGAGCTCATCCTGTTTTCCAGGTGCAACGTTATCCTGCAAGTCAATCGGTTCAATCCTATTCCAAGTCTCTTTGACGACCATGGAAAAGTACGAAAAGTTGGCTAAGATCGGAGAAGGGTCTTACGGGGTTGTATTCAAATGCAGAAACAAAACCTCCGGACAAGTTGTAGCCATTAAAAAGTTTGTGGCATCTGAAGATGACCCCATTGTTAAGAAAATAGCACTAAGAGAAATCCGCATGCTGAAGGTAGGTTCGCTTTCTGTGTCTCTGTGCTGACACGGTATGGAGTAAGATAATGGAGGCCAAAATCACAACGAGTTTGGAAGTCATCTTTCCCCCCATTGAACTTAAATTTCTTTGTATCAGCAACTTGGGGAAATAGGTTGGTCGTCACTTTGGACTTTGGCCGCTCTGATGTTTATCTGATACATGTGAGTACAGCTTGTTATATTGATGTGTCTCTGTTGTGTGGCTGAATGTCCACAAGACCCAGAGTCCCTCCCCACCCACCCTGGAGTTTATGCCCTAGCCCTCCTCTGAACAAACTCCTCCCCCCAGGTCTTCCCCTTCAACCAGAAACTAAAAAAGCACTTGCTAGCACAGAGGGTCCCAGAGGACTGCCACAGGGCCCAATAAGCATCAACATTGCTTGGTCCCTGTCTGAGCTGCAATGCAGCTTCTTAGACATCCTGAAATCACCCCCAGTGATGTATACATTAGTATTAGTATTCATATTAGTGTTAGTATTTTAGAGACAGGGTCTCACTCTGTGGCCCAGACTGGAGTGCAAGTGATCAAAGCTCACCGTAACCTCCAACTCCTAGGCTCAGGCGATCCTCCTGCCTCAGCCTCCCTAGTAGCTGGGACTACACAGGTGTGTGCCCCCATGCTGGGCTAATAGATTCGGCATTTCTAACAAGTTCCCAGATAGTGCCTAAAGCTGCTAGCTTGTGAGCTGCACCTTAAGTAACAAGGGCCTATGATTTCCTCAAGGACACACAGCCAATTTTTACTTTTGACATGCCGTCTGTTTTCAGGAAATCTCCAGAAATTCAGCTTGTAAACGGGGATCATACTTATCATGTTATTTCTCCTTTTCAAATATGATGTGCAGCAGGTCTCCTCAACTAATACATTCTAGTGTTTTGTTTAAGATAGAATTTAATACACGGTTTTTAAGAACACATCCAAGAAAGAGTGGATCACTTTTCCCTTGTAGCCAGCAGAGGGCACCGGTTGGCCAGCCGACTCTGGCACCCTTGCTGGGCTAAGCTCAGGATGGGTCTGAACCAGGCAGCACTGTTTTCTAATAAAAATCCTGCACTGACCCTCACCCTCTCCCTCTCCCTCTCGAGTCTCCAGATGAAGTCAATGCTCAATAGTACCTTCTGGGCTGCAAGTGCCCTAATTTGAGAATGAACTTTAAGGTTAAAAATGGTGAAAACGAGTTCAACTCAGCTTGGGCTCTGGGGATGACCCCAGAATGTCCACGTTTCCTGCTTAGGGCATTTTGCACCCATGCATGCCCTGAATATAGTCTTTCCAAGATAAATCAGCCTCACTTTCCTTTCATAGTCCTTTTGTTGTTGTTTTAAATAGAGATAGGCCTTGCTTCACTGCCCAGGCTGGAGTACAGTGGTGCAATCACAGCTCACTGCAGCCTCGAACTCCTGAGGCTGCAGCCATCCTCCTGTCTCAGCCTGATGCGTGGCTAGGACCACAGGCACACACCACCACACCCTGCTAGCTTGTTTCATATTTTGTGTGTGTGCAGAAAAGGCCTCGCTGTGTTGCCCAGGCTGGTCTCAAACACCCAGGCTGCAACCTACTTTTTATTTATTGTGAAGACAAGGTCTCGCCAAGTTGCCCGGGCTGATCCCGACCTGCGAGCACTGGCAATCCACTCGCCTCAGTCTCTCAAAGTGCTGGGATTACAGGCTGAGCCACCAAGCCTGACTTCTTTGTTTTTTTTTTCCGAGTTGGAGTCTCACTCTGTCACCCAGGCTGGAGTGCAGTGGCATGCTCACAGCCACCACAGCCTGGACCTGCTGGGCTCAGGCGATTCTTCTGCCTCAGCCTTCCAAAAGCTGGAACTACAAGCACATGCCACCCCTCCTGGCTAATTGTTTAATTTATTGTAGAGATGAGCTCTCACCACGTTGCGCAGGCTGGTCTCGAACCCCTGGACTCAGGCAGTCCTCTCGCCTCCACCTCCCAGTGTGCTGGGATTCCAGGCATGAGCCACCACGCCAGGCTGCATCAGGTTAAACCTTGATGTGGATCAAGCTGTTGCATCTGTGAACCCCTCGCTCCTCTGTAGGGACACTGTCTCACTTCCATACTGTGGTTTTGCAGCAGCACAAAGCAGCTGGCTTATGTGTAGCCTGGCTCCTCAGCTTATCACTTTCTGCTCTTTTGCACAGTGGAACACAGGGAAAACAAATCGGTTTGATGCTCTGGGCACATTTTTTAAAAAGAGATGAGGTCTTGCTATGTTGCTATGGCTCCGGCTTATCTCAAACTTCTGGGCTCAAGCAATCCTTCAAACAATCCTCCTGCCTCAGTCTCGGTATATATATTTGAGTGGGGGTCTCACTCTGTGGCCCAGGCTGGAGAGCAGTGGCACAATCATGGCTCACTGCAGCTTCAACCTCCCTCCTCCTGGGCTCTGGTGATTCTCCCTCCTCAACCTCCAAAATAGCTAGGACTACAGGCACATGTCACCATGCCTGGCTAATTTTTAATTTTTTTTTTTTTTTTTTTGGTCAAGCTGTGCTCATAGCTGCTGAGGCAGAGGCATACAGCATAAGTCCCTGTACCCTGGAACTCTACAGTCCTGTAAAATGTTTATTGAGCTTCCACCGTATGCAAAATACTCTGTTCTCAGTCTTTATTGATCTTCCTGGGTTAATGGTATAGGATTTGGAAAGTTGATTTGTCTATTATATAAGCAACAGGAAGGATGAGTTGTGAATAAGAATGATCATGTGTCCTATTTTGTCCAGTACAGTCCTGCTTTAGAGTTCTTTTCTCAGTGTTTTGCCTAGTTCATATCCTTTTTTCATAAGCGGCCCAGCAACTGGGTGTGGTGGTTCATGCCTGTAATCCCAGCACTTTGGGAGGCCGAGACAGGAGGACTGCTTGAGCCCAGGGGCTTGAGATCAGCCTGGGCAACATAGAGAAACCTCATCGCTACAAAAAATAAAAATGAAAGAATTAGCTGGGAATGGCAGTGCACACCTGTAGTCCCAGCTACTTAGGAGGCTGAGGCAGGATGATTTACCTGAATCCAGAAGGCTGAGGCTGCAGTGACCCATGATTGTGCCCCTGCACTCCAGCCTGGGCAATAGAGTGAGACCCCTAAGTCAAAACCAAAAAAGTGTCCTGGTGTGTATGCTAAATTACATGGGCCCCTAGTTATAGGCATGGCAGCCAGATGTGCTGTTGCATCTGGGATAGGACTGACTTATACCCATTACCCTGGTTTGAATGATAAAATCATATAGCTACTCCAGGGATGAGCTATTGTACTTAATCAGTGTTTTTCCTTTGGTTTACGATATTAAACAGAGGCCATCTTGTGAAATGCTTCAGTCTGGGAACAGAATTTAACACATAAGACACCAATACATGGACCAGGCATGATGGCTCCCAGCACTTTGGGAAGCAGAGGCAGGAGGATCACTTGAGCCCAGGATTTTGAGACCAGCCTGGGCAGGATAGCAAGACCTCATCTCTAAAAAAATTTAAAAATTAGCCAAGCATGGTGGTACATGCCTGTAGTCCCCACTGGATCACCCGAGCCCAAAAAGTTGATGCTGCAGTGAGCCTTGAGTGTGCCACTGTCCTCCAGCCTGGGCAACAGAGTGAGACCCTGACTCCAAACAAAGTCTAAGCACGCGAGAGCAACAGAATAAAAAAACAGAGCCAAAAATAGAATAAATACATTTAAAACACAAACTAACCGGAATAGGTAGTTTCATCAGGTTTGAGAGTTGGTATCTAGTTTTGCTGACAGCCAACACCAGAATCCTGAGTTTAAGTCCTGCTGACATTTATGTTAACTCCATGGTGATACATAAGCAAAGTGGGTATTGATGATTGTTACAGTCTTATACTCAATAGTTCCATCTCCTCCATTTTTTATCCAGGTTAATTGATTACTTGGATGTTTAAAGTTTCCATAAAATACATAAAGTATTTTTTTGTTTTCGTGCCAATATTTTAAGCTGTATACTTTTTTTGCCATCACCAGAAAGATCCAAGCAGTTTCATTACTATCGAGGATAGGTTCATTAGATGAAATCTTACACTTCTTCCAACTTTAAGCTTCTGTGATTCTTACAAAGAACAGTTTCTCCATAAGAGATGCACACAGAAGAAGCAAGCCCTTGTGCCCTTAAAATTGTGAGGGGTCTGGGGAGACACTATTACTAGAAACATATCACTGAACTTTGTATTTCCATTTTGTTTTTGTTTTTGTTTTTTTGGCAGCAATTAAAACACCCAAATCTTGTCAACCTCATTGAGGTGTTCAGGAGAAAAAGGAAAATGTATCTTGTTTTCGAATACTGTGATCATACACTTTTAAATGAGCTGGAAAGAAACCCAAATGGGTAAGTAATCTAGAAACTGAAGTTCTGTGTGGCCAGTCCTCAGTTTCACTGCATGTGGAATTGACCATGGCACACGTCCATTCCCAGCCACAATCCTCCTTTCTACCACGAAGCATCTGACTCCCCCTCTCCAGCATCAGGTAGGATGTCCTCAAAGGGAAAAAAGGCCAAACATGGTGGCTCACACCTGTAATCCCAGTACTTTGGGAGGCCAAGGAAGAAGGATTGCTTGGGTCCAGGAATTCGAGACCAGCCTAGGTACCACAGCAAGACCTTGTCTCTACAAAAAAATAAAAATTTTTCCAGGCATAGTGGTGCACACCTGTAGCCCAGCTACTTGGGAGGCAGAAGGATTGCCTGATCCTAGGAGGTCAAGGTTGCAGAGAGTTGTGGTCATGCCACTACACTCCAGCCTGGGTAACAGAGCAAAACCCCAGACTCAAAAAAAAAAGAGGTTGGGAAAACAAAGATTTACCTAGAGGAATATATAAACAGGAAGACAAATCTATTGCAAACAGAAATCAAAATGCATTTTAAGGCTAAATTATATATTGGATTATCTAAATTCAAAGACTAAACTATATTTGATATTAGGAAATCTATTCATATAATGCACTACTAAATTAATGGATTAAAAATACATATGACTGATAAAACCTGAAATGTTGATAAATTCAGCATCCTTTCCCAATTTATTTTTTTAAAACCTTAGGATTAAAAGAATAGTTTCCTTCTTTTTTTTTTTTTTGAGTCAGAATCTCACTCTGTCATCCAGGCTGGAGTGCAGTGACACGCTCATGGCCATAAGGCTTGACCTGCTGGTCTCAGGTGATTCTTCTGCCTCAGCCTTCCAAGTAGCTGGAACCACAGGCATGCGCCACCATACCTGGCTAACTTTTTGATTTATTGTAGAGATAAGATTTCGTCAAGTTGCCCGGGTTGGTCTCGAACCCCTGGACGCAGGCAATCCTTTCACCTCCACCTCTCAAAGTGCTGAGATTATAAGTGTGAAACACCACGCCCGGCCCAAGAATAGTTTCTTCACACACACACACTTCTTCAAATCAACTTCTCATTTTATAGAAACTGAAATTCGATTAAAGTATGAAATAAGACAAGGATGTCAGTTGTCACTACTATAATGTAACATTGCTCTGAGAGCTTCAGCCAATGTCCTATAATAAGAAAAATAAACAAAATATATGAGATAAAATTATCATAATTTGTATATTATTATTCTACAAATTCTAAGAGCATTACCTAAACAATTACTAAAACTAATAATAAATTCAGTGTAGTGATCCCCTATAGCACTACAAATTTACATGCAAAAATTAGCATTCAAATATTAGCAGAAAGCCAGGCACAGTGGCTCAAGCCTGTAATCCCAGCACTTTGGGAGGCCAAGGTGTGAGGATTGCCTGAGCCCGTGGGTCCGAGACCAGCCCAGGCAACCTGGTGAGACCTCGTCTCTACAACAAATCAAAAAGTAATCTTGCATGGCAGCACATGCCTGTAGTTCCGGCTACTTGGAAGGCAGAGACAGAAGGATCGCCTGAGCCCAGCAGGTAAACACTGGGGTAGCCATGAGTGTGCCACGGCACTCCAGCCTGGACAACGAAGTGAGATTCCGACTCAAAAACCCCCCACAAACATTAGCAACAAAGAAAGTTTAGGAATAAAAATGAAAAGTATTGTTCAGACTCTACATATAGACAGCTACGAGATCTGAGGTACATCAAGGATTTTATTTCAATGAATATATGTTTCTGGATGGAAATATTCATTATTATAAAATATTGCCTCTTCAGTTTATTTATTAGGCAAAATTCTATTCAGAATATCAATGGGATTTTTTTTTTTTTTTGGAAACTTGAAAAATTAGACTAGATCAAACATTTTTTAAAAAGAAGAAAAACCTTTAACTGACAAATATTAAATCATATTAGTTTTAGAGATTTTCTTTGATTAAGAAAAGGACCCATAAATAAAACTAAAAAGGAAATGGAAAATTGGGTAAACTATTTACCAGAATTAATAAACTTCATATCTACATATGCAGATTTTACAAATGAAGTTTTTTAAAAGATTGACATCCAATTAGAAAGTATATTCATTCAAAAAAATTTCTGTTTTTTTCCTTTTGTTGCATTTGAGTTCCTTGTAGATCCTAGATGTTAGGCCTTTGTCAGATATACCGTTGGCAAATACTTTTTCTCATTCTGTGGGCTGTCTCCCTGCTCTCTTGATGGTTTCTTTTCCTTTGCAGACGCTCGTTAATTTGATGAGGTCCCACTTGTCTATCTTATTTCTTAAGGTATTGGCCTTTAGGGTTCTGAAGAGGAATTGGTTGCCAGTTCCAATTTCCATAAGGGTGTCTCCTGCATTTTCTAAGATTCTTATAGTTTGAGGTTTTACATTTAGGTCTTTGATCCATTTAGAGTTAATTTTTGTGTATGGTGATAGGTAGGGGTCCTGTTTCAATCTTCTGCATGTGGTCAGTCAGTTTTCCCAGCACCATTTACTGAATAGGTTCTCCTCTCCTGCATGATCAATGTTTATATACCTAATCCTGAAATGTACCCCACATCTTTATAATAAAAAAATTTTTTTTTAATTTCTGAATACAGACTGTGTACCCAGCTAGGTAGTAAGGATACAGCAGTAAACAAAACATAAAAAAGTATGTCTGGGCACGGCGGCGCACGCCTGTAACCCCAGCGCTTTGGGAGATGAAAGTGGGAAGATCACTTGAGCCCAGGAGTTCAAGACCAGCCTAGGCAACATAGTAAGACCACCATCTCTACAAAAAATTAGCCAGGCATGGTGGGGCATAAGTGTATAGTCCTAACCTCTTAGGAGACTGAGTCAGGAGAATCACTTGAGCCCAAGAGTCTGAGGCCACAGTGAGCTAGGATCTCACCACTGCACTCTAGCCTGGGAAACAGAGTGAGACCGACCCTGTCTCTAAAAAAATAAATAAAGATAGAAACTAGTCTCAAGAAGCTTATATTTCAGTGAACATGAAAAAGCAAATCATTTTAAAAGGAGGGAAAATGACCAATACATCTAAGAAAACATATTTATCTTCCTTATCAAAGAAATTCAATATATTTAAACAAGGTACCATTTCTTATCTATTAATTTGACAAAGATTTTTCATAAATCATATACTCAGTATTATCAATAGTCGGAGAATCAGGCTTTCTGATCCACTGCTAGAGAAAGTGTCCTTGGGATGGTGGTCTGGCAATGTGTGTGCCATTTTTTGTTTTTGTTTTTTGTTTTTTTGGGGGGGTTGGAGTCTCACTCAGTCGCCCAGGCTGGAGTGCAGTAGCACGGTCACAGCCACCGCAGCCTCGACCTGCTGGGCTCTGGCAATCCTTCCACCTCAGCCTTCCAGTAGCCAGAACTACAGGTGCATGCTACCACACCCAGCTAATTTTTGATTTATTGTAGAGACGAGGTCTTACCAAGTTGCCCGGGAGGGTCTCGAACCCACAGACTCAGGCAAACCATTCACCTCGGCCTCCCAAAGTGCTGGGATTACAGGCTGAACCACTGAGCCCAGCCTGTCTTAAAAACTGTCTTCATCCTTTAACCAAGATATTCCATTTAGAGGAATGGATAGTAAGAAAATAATCAGATGGGGCAAAAAGTTATACATATGCATGTTCAACACATCATTATTGATAACAAAGATAGGGGACTCACCCAATTTTCCGGTAAAGAATTGGTCACCTGTATTTTGATACATTCATACGTCGGTACAGTGTCCATGCAGCCCATCCGAGAGCATGCCGCATAATAGTGTGTGTCCTAGGGAGAGGTCCCTGACACAGAACATTTATGGCCAGGTGCAGTGGCTCATGCTTGTAATTCCAGCACTTTGGAGGGCAAGGCAGGAGGGTCGCTTGAGGCTGGGAGTTTGCCACTGGCCTGGGCAACACGGAAAGATCTTGTTTGTACCCAAAAAATTAAAAAATTAGCCGGGTATGGTGGTGTATGCCTGTAGTCCCAGCTACTCGGGAGGTTGAGGTGGGAGGATTGCCAGAGCCCAGGAGTTTGAGGTTGTAGTGAGCTATGATTTTACTATTGCACTCCAGCCTGGACAAGACAGCAAGACTCCGCCTCAAAAATAAATAAATAAATAAATAGATAGATAAAATTAAAAGATGGAACATTTATCTTGAGTTTTTCCAGTATTCTGTGAATGCACATATATTGCTTTCAAAACAAAAAATAATATTAAAAAACAGTTAAAATAGTATATTAATTCGCACTTCGGCTTTATTCTGAGCAAAATAGGGTTTTGTACATTGACTCAGGGACAGATATGTACAGCCATCCCCTAAATTAACTTATACATTAACAGACATTTTCATATAGTTAGAGATGTGTGCTTACTTCATGTATTGACCAAGGTCCTGAAACTAAACACACAACCCATGCAACAGTTTAGTTAGACCGAGTGTCCTTCTCTTCCCTGTACATAGCTAAGACTTAGCTCATACTCTTCCTTCTTTAACAAGAATGTTCTAGCCTTTTCTACCTTCCCTGTCTCCATCATAGTCTTTAAAATGTGAAATCCTAAATAGTCTTGGTTTTTTTGTTTGTTTGTTTTTCCTTGAGTTGGAGTCTCATTCTGTCACCCAGGCTGGAGAACAGTGGCACAATCACAGCTCACTGAAGCCTCAACCTCTTGGGCTCAGGAGATCCTTCTGCCTCAGCCTCCCAAGTAAGAAGGACTACAGGTATGCGCCACGACACCTGGCTAATTGTCTTATTGTTTGTAGAGATGAGATCTTACTATGTTGCCCTGCCTGGTCTCGAACTCCTGGACTCAAGCAATATTCCCGCCTTGGCCTCCCAAAGTGCTGGGACTGCAAGTGTGAGCCACCGTGCCTGGCCAGATAGTCTAACATCTCTGAGTTTCCTTCAGCTAGCTGGAATTGCTTCCCTCCTTTGAATCCCATAGGATTATATTTTTTATCCTTGTT